GGGTTCTTGGGTGGAGGAGAAAGGAATGAAGAAATATTAGGTAGAAAGATAGAATGAGACAATAAGAAAGAGAGAGATACAGGATAGCTTTGGAAGGCCCTGGGGTCAATACCCAGTCTCCCAGAGCTTTATTCAAAAGGGCTTTTTTATAATATGCCAAGGGGAGAGACAAAAGACCTCTCCTTTGTAAGATCAAAATACACTGTACAGCCAAGTGCAGACCCTTCCCAACACCTGGTAAACATGCCTGTGGCCAAATCATCCCATTTTGCAGCCTTGCTGGGCAAAGCAAGCTCAGACTTTCTGACCTTGAATAAGGTCTTAGTAGGAAGCCTCTGTGAGCCACCACACAGGGAAAAGCCAGTTCAAGCACCCTCTCCACTATTGCTAGGAGTCTTAGCTGGCATCATCCTTGTGATTTTCTGGGAGTTTTGCTGGCACCAGGTTTCTCCATAACGCCTTAACAGCACCATCTAACAAGGTATTTCTTTTATTACTCGTACCTTCTGTAGGGTCCCCAACTCGACCGTCCTGATCCTGATCCCTCATGTTCCCATCCCTCCATCCCCCCACCCCCAGTTTACCCAGGACATCTCATTTATTTCTCTTCCCAGGATGATCCATGTATCTCTTTTAGGGCTCTCCTTGTTACCTAGCTTCTCTAAGGCTGAGGATTGTAGTCTGGTTATCCTTTGCATTACATATAAAACCCACTTATGAGTGAGTACATAACGTGTTTGTCTTTCTTGGTCTGGGTTACCTCACTCAGGATGATTTTTTCTAGTTCCATCCATTTGTCTGCAAATTTAATGATGTCATTGCTTTTTACTGCTGAGTAATACTCCATTGTGTATATGTACCACATTTTCTTTATCCATTCTTCAATTGAGGGGCATCCAGGTTGTTTCCAGGTTCTGGTTATTATGAGTAATGCAAAAATTCAGCTTTTTTCAATCCACGTTCTCTCTCTCTTTCTCTCTCTCTCCCTCTCTCTTTCTCTAACTATCTTGCTCTCTCTTTTTTTCTGGCAATAGCTCCCTATGTCGTACAGGCTGGCCACCAAGTCAGGATCCTCCTGCCTCACAGCTGTACTTGGGTTTCTGGCATGCACAAACCTGCCACATTTTGATCATTGCTCTTAGTATTAATAGTATTATTAAGAAATAATGTATGAGTATTAATACCTTATCAATACTACTAAGTATTAATAAGAAAATAAGGACTAATAATGTTTTCCTCATGCTTTGTGTTTCAATAGAACTGTACTCTTGCTTTTCTGCAGCTGCTTCCATTTCATCCGCTATTTGTAGTACTGGGTGAGTTTTAGCACAGAAGATAAATGTCTCCGCCTCACTTCTCCATTTCTAAAAGCTGGTCACCTGGCTGAAAGGATATGCTCTAGCTGATTCTCTTCAAGGCACCATGGTCAATGCTAAATTTTTTTGTGCTATCTAAACCCAAAAGCCATTTAGTCCAGTCCAGCTACTGGCAGCAGAGCTGACATTTTGATTATCATTTGCTGACTCCCGTGGTCCTTCAGTGAGTACTGGCCTTTAGAGTTGTTGGAGGGAAAGACAGAGATTTATTAGTCCTCTAAATACCAACATAGTACCAAGAGATAAATGCTACTTCAGAATTATTGAACAAAGCGTCAAAATGTTACAGGACCTAATTCAGGCAGTTGCTTCATGGCCATCAGATTAGAAGCAGGCTGCACAAAGGAGGTCAAGGTCAACTTCAGGTCAGTGTAGAGGGAAGGAAGAATACTTTTCTAGAAAAACCTAAGGAAGATGACACTTTAGGTTGATGAAATGTATAATATATATTCAGTCATATCATTTTAATTTCTAAAAATTTGTTATTTACTTTATGTGTATAGATGTTTATCTGTATGTGTGTCTGCAACAACTGTGTGCCTAGGTATCACAGAGGCCAGAAGAGGATGCTGGATCCCCAGGAACTGGAGTAACAGATGCTTGTGAATTACCATGTGGTTCTGGAAATTGAACTTTGGTCCATTGGAAAAGCAGCTGGTGTTCTTTTCTGCTGTGCCATCTCTTTATCCTCTCATTTAAACTTCATAAAATCCCTACTTGACAATTCTTATTTCATATTCAAGAAACTGTGATTTATATCAGTATATCTTCCAAAGCATCAGCTTCACTTTAAATAGCTACATGGTACCTGCTAAAGAAGGAAGAAAGCTAAAACTAGCATGGTCAGATAATGAAGCAAAGACATTTTAATTGGCAAGCAAAACACTCAATGAAGCTACATCTTGTAGATAATTGATGTGTTTTAAGAAGCTAAGTCGATAAAAGAGGACATGTACAGACCCTAGTTGGGGAAGATGAAAAATCGGTCTTTTGGAGCATCAGATTACATTATGAACTGTCTAGATGGCTCAGTGAGTGAAGATTTCTGCTGCTCAAACCTAACAACCTTAATTTGATTCTTAGATCCCATTGTAGAGGGAGAGAATTGACTCCTGAGTGTTGTCCTTTGTGGTGGTTTGAATAAGAATGACGCTCAGAAGCTCAAATATTTCAACTGGTTCCCAGTTGGTAGAGTGTTGGGAAGAATTAGTAGTTATGGTCTTTTTGGACGAAGTGTATTGTTTAGGGTGGGCTTTGAGGTTTCAAAAGTCAACATCATTCCCAGTGCCTCTCACACTCTCTTTGCCTGCTGAATGTGGATCAGAACGCAAAGTTCTCAGCTACTGCTCCAGCACCATGCCTGCTTGCATGCTGCCATGTTCTCTACCATGCTGGTAATAAACTAATACTCTCAACCTGTAGTCAAGCCCTCAAATAGATACTTTCTTTTATAAGAGTTGCTTTGGTCATAGTGTCTCTTCATATCAATAAAAATCCTAAGACGTCATCTGACTTCCATATGCACCCGACTCTCTCTCTCTCTCTCTCTCTCTCTCTCTCTCTCTCTCTCTCTCTCTCTCTGTACCACACACACACACTGAATTAAAAAGAAAGATGATGAGGGCAAAAATAAAAGAATTTTCAGGTAAAAGTATAGAAAAAAGATAGTGCATGATCACATGGAAATACATTCTTTAATATTCAAGGGTAGCCTGGTCATAGATGGAAAGAGAAATTTGGTTGACATATAGCGAATATACACAATTTCAAATATTACTTTTAAATAGGCAAGTAAGGACTGAAATATGTAACTTTATTTTGAATGCTATAAAATTGAGGGAAATGGTTTCTGCGAACTGTAATAAATTTTATATCACTTTCAATTTTACAAAATTAAATTATAATTTTATAATACAACCCTGGGCTTAGGTTTCAGTTATTTTAATATGTCAAATATCTTGTGAGTGGTCAGTTAAAAAATTATCAAAACAATTTTTGTGTGACATTGTTCTTGGTAAGAATGACATGAATAAACATCAACTTACCTGACTTGGGAAACCAATTGCAGACAAAAGTTAGGATAATTCCAGAATCCAACTTGGCATAGGATGAGCTCTTTGGAGTTACCTAAAAGATTATTGGCTATGAATCACACAAGAGCATGAATGACTCAAAAGCCATTGCCTTTCTCAAAGCCCACCTCAGCATGTGTGTTCACTCAGAAAAGCTGGAAGTCTCTGCATAACTTGCAGGGGATTCTACCCCAGACAAAGGAGTCTCCCTTTCTCAGAAATCCTTGCTTCTTAACTTTGAGAAGAAAGTGGTCATGCACATCTGCAACATTTCAAGGAATTCTTGAGATACATGTCATCTTTCCTGCAAGAATATTAGAGAATCTCCTTTTTAGAATTTTCTGAATCTTAATGAACTTCTCTCTTATGGAATGTTTCAACCCAAGAATAATTACTATATAACTTCAAATAGATAAAATTATGTTTAAAATATTATACAATGAAGTACATTAGTGGGAAGAGGAGGTAAGGGGAAGAAAATATAAATCTGAAGCAGAGAGCAAATAGAGAAGCTAGTGGCCACTTCTATTGGTCAGCCTGGGACTTGATTTTCTGTTTAGTTATACTACATACTAGATAAGAAGTAAAATAGAGACCTGGGAAAGATGCATTACTGTCTTTTAATATAATATCTTTTAGTCTCTTTTTGCATTATTATAACAAAATGCCTGAGGAGTGTTGTGGGATGGTCTGTATGTCAAATGTGTTGCTGATTGGTCAATAAATAAATCACTGATTGGCCCGTGGCCAGGCAGGAAGTATAGGCGGGACAAGGAGGAGAATAGAGCTGGGAAGGAAGGCTGAGTCAGAGAGACACTGCCAGCCGCCATCAGGACAAGGAAGATGTAAAGTACCGGTAAGCCACAAGCCACGTGGCAAGGTATAGATTAATAGAAATGGATTAATTTAAGCTGTAAGAACAGTTAGCAAGAAGCCTGCCACGGCCATACAGTTTGTAACCAATATAAGTCTCTGTGTTTACTTGGTTGGGACTGAGTGGCTGTGGGACTGGCGGGTGAGAGAGATTTGTCCTGACTGTGGGCCAGGCAGGAAAACTCTAGCTACAGAGGAGGAATCCTTAAATGCAAAGGGATTTGTTTTGCTCATGCTTTTGATCCTGAAAGTTCAAATGACATGTAATGGTCCCTAATAAGAACGTATTCCATCTAAGCTGCATTTCCATGCTGGGTTCTAATGGCAGGAGCTCATGTAACATGAGCATCATGTAGACAGATAGAAACTTAAGTAATATTGGGCGGATCAAGGCAAAACCTTTCATAACATGTCCTTCTAGATAACTGCCATAGGTTACAAAATAGGGCTGTATCTCTCAATGATTTAAAAACCTCCCTAAGTTCTACCTTACAGGGAGTCTATTACATGACCAAGATCAACTAAGGACCATCTTCCTAAGATAGGAACCATTAGAGAGAAGAACATTTTTATGTATATGAATAAAATTATAAAACCTACAAAATTCCTAGAGTGAAGGTTATCAGGTAAACAGTAAGAATCAGACTCATGAAGATTTAAAAAATGAAGAGGGGCCGCCGCGGGCCGGGTCCGTGAGGAAGGCCTAGGCCGTCTGCTTCACGGCTTGCCGAGCGTCTGCGCAGCTTCTCCCGCTTCCCGTCCGCTGCGGCCGGGCGAGCAGAGGCCTTCCGGAGCCATGGAGGACGAGGTGATTCGCATTGCCAAGAAGATGGACAAGATGGTGCAGAAGAAGAACGCGGCTGGTGCATTGGATTTGCTGAAAGAACTTAAGAATATTCCCATGACTCTGGAATTATTACAGTCCACGAGAATTGGAATGTCTGTCAACGCTATTCGCAAGCAGAGTACAGACGAAGAAGTCACATCTTTAGCCAAATCGCTTATCAAATCCTGGAAAAAATTATTAGATGGACCATCAACTGATAAAGACCCTGAAGAAAAGAAAAAAGAACCTGCAATTTCATCACAGAATAGCCCTGAAGCAAGAGAAGAAAGTAGTTCCAGTGGCAATGTAAGCAGCAGAAAGGATGAGACAAACGTTCGAGACACTTATGTTTCATCTTTTCCTCGGGCACCAAGCACTTCTGATTCTGTGCGGTTAAAGTGTAGGGAGATACTTGCTGCAGCTCTCCGAACAGGAGATGATTACATTGCTATTGGAGCTGATGAGGAAGAACTGGGATCCCAGATTGAGGAAGCTATATATCAAGAAATAAGGAATACAGACATGAAATACAAAAACAGAGTACGAAGTAGGATATCAAATCTTAAAGATGCAAAGAATCCAAATTTAAGGAAAAATGTGCTGTGTGGGAATATTCCTCCTGACCTGTTTGCTAGAATGACAGCAGAGGAAATGGCTAGTGATGAGCTCAAAGAGATGAGGAAAAACTTGACCAAAGAAGCCATCAGAGAACATCAGATGGCCAAGACAGGTGGGACCCAGACTGACTTGTTCACGTGTGGCAAATGTAAAAAGAAGAACTGCACCTACACACAGGTGCAAACTCGTAGTGCTGATGAACCAATGACAACATTTGTCGTATGTAATGAATGTGGAAATCAGTGGAAGTTCTGTTGAGTTGGAAGAATCGGCAAGGTATCTGGACCATTAAGAAAAATGGATTTTGTAATTAGCTTTAAAATTAGGCCAGGCAACTCGCTTTCCTGCAAGTGATAATTGTAACCATACACGTCCCATGGGTTGGTCTTTGTTTTTCTCCTAACATACTTCCTTAAAGGCCTTCTGTGGTTTCAGACCAGCTAGGAGACCATAGAAGAATTAGATAATGTGTTGCGTTTTTTTTTTTTATTTTTATAAGTAAGTTGATGTTACATTTTATTAAATATTAACCTTTTGAGTCTGGAACACATAAAAATTCTGTTGTTCTCCATTAAAGACAAATTGCTTTTTCTCATTGGTATGTACCTAAAATATTAAAGGGAGAGAAAAGGAGTAATATAAACGTTAGTTACCAAATATGATATGTATTCCAGTAGTACTTGACCAGCTTATCAAAATTGTGCACACTATTTGATCTAGCATATGAATTTGCTCTTAATTACCATGCTCACAAAGCCTTGGATCCCTAGATCTCTTGCATCTGTGACTAACTGCAGTGATCATTTGTATTTCTTATACATGTATATTACTGTTTTTAATAGATTTTTCTTTGAGAATTGACTTGATTGCAATCAGTTTGGTTTTATTTGACTTTGCACTCTATTTTAGTTTCACCAAACTCTGTTATAGTTTCCTAGGCTTTCACAAAGCCCCTCACAGGCATACTTCTGGTGAATATTCCCCCATAGAAGACATGCTGGGAAGAAAATGTCAGCATCTTAGTAGAGTTCCTGGAGACAGCATGACTGGACTTGCACTTGGAAATCTACTGACCAAGGATTAAGCCTAAGAACTGTATAAATCATTAAGCTGTGCATATGGAGATTGCAAAAAGAAAAAGAAAAATCTTTTAGTCTGAATCTTTTGTGCTGACTTTTTTCTTACATGATGATGTTGAGCCAACTGAAATGTAGGCTATAGCAAGTAGTTTTACAATACATATTTCACAATTAAGTTTTACCTTTGTTTAAATGTGTCCCGCTTGTTTTGCTGGTAATAAAAAGCAGTGGTTTTCACATGGTTTTCTTGATACAGATGTTCTGATGCATAGAGTAAAGGCCACTGTTGCAAAGCTTACAACTTACGTGCTTCTGCATCTGGCCAGACTTTTATGTAAAGACCACTACACAAGCTTTGCACTCTGCTCTGCAGATTGTTTGACATAACATAGAAAACATTTAAATGTCCATGTTAAAGAGGATTGGTCCATGGGTAATTTCTGTCACTTTAAAAATAAAGTACATTTTGAAAGAATTAGTTTAAAAATAATAAGGTTAAAATAGTCCTACTTTTAAGTGATCCATTTTAAAATTCGTAAATCAATAAATTTTTTTTGTTGTTAAAAAAAAATGAAGAGGATTGTCAAAATCAAAAAACTATCAGTTTATCGGTAGGTAGTGGATTAAAAGAATCTCTTATAATCTTGAGCTGCTCAGAAAGCTTTAGGATAGTAAGTATGAATGTGAACATCCTTTGCCTTTTTGTTCTAACCACCAACCTTACTGATAATTTGAGATACAGAACACATTGTGGTGGAGGGCTCTCATGTACATAGTGGGATGTTTAGCATCATCTCTGGATTCCACCAACTAAAGGCCATTAATATTTTTGCGATCCACTACATAGTGGTGTCAGCCAAGTATTGTGTCTAGAGATAGAAAACTATTTCCTGTAGGACAAAATTTACATGTCACTAAAATTAATTGCTCTCTGCCTGGCAATTGGATTTCTAAATTTGTTGCAGAGCAATATTAGCATTTTCTCATTAGGAAATATGGACAGTAATTAGAGTAGCATTTTTTTAAACAAGAAACTAGATACTGCTAGAAATGCATAGAAGTATCATGATCCACTAAAGAATGAAATAGTACACAAATTACTATTGTGTGACAGAAAACCCCTCAACATAGTTTGAAACAAAATATAGACATCTCATACAATCTGATAAAATTATTTCAGAATATATAGCTGGATGAGAAATATAAAAATTGTCAAATACATATACTATATATACATATATATATATATATATATATACACACACACACACACACACACACACACACACTCTGGTGCTAACTACTTGATAAAAATATAATGAAAAGAGATAAAAAGTAAAGTAAGATAATGCCTACTTCTTAAGGGAAGAAAAATATTTGAAAGAAACTATGTATTTGGAAAACATTTAAATGTATTTTTAATATATTTTAATTATAGTAAAATCACATCTTTTCCCTTTCCTTTCTAGCCCCTCCCTTTCCTTCCTATGTCTCACCCTTATTCCTATTCATATTGAGGGCCTCTTTTTCTTTGATTATTATTATTATACACATATCTGCACAAATACATCAATTATATATTGCTGAGTTCTTTTTTGTTGCTTATGTGTATATCAGGGCTGAACGCTTTGAATTGGATAACCGGTTAGGGAGCTCTTCTCTGGGAAAGGTTAATTTTTCAGTGTCTCAGCAGTCATTAGTGACATGTTGTTCTTTCTCTAGGGGAGGGACTCTGTGACATTCATATTAGCATATCTAATATTGAGATTGTCATTGTTTGGGTCTTGTTTAGGCAGCCATTTCTACAAGACATGGTCTCAAGCTGATTTCTTGGTCCTTTCTTTCTTGTAGTCTTACTGCCTCCCCTCTAGCTCCTGAGATGAGATCTTAAAGCCTTCCCATCCATGAACCTTAGGTACAGGAGTTGCATTGTAGATGCAGATGTTGGGGCCAAGTCCATACAGTCCCTTGAAGTCTGTGTTACATCTAGGTGGTCTTCAGGAACAGTCTCGATTTGCTGTGAGAAGAAGCTTCTCTCTTGATAAGAGTTGCACATATCTGCAGGTATAATGATGAAATTTACAATGAAGGAATGTAGGAATTTTGCTGGTCAAATAAAACGGTGGTAGTAGAGTTTTTTCAAGCGTCATGGTTCCACTAACATATTGATAAAGAATGAATATTTGAAAAATACAGAAATCATTTGGCTATCTCAGTGTTAGCACATGAATATCCATTTTAAAATTATTTTCCTCAACCTGTTTTTTGACACATTTCCCATAGTTCTGAAGACTGTCCAGTCAAGCTGTTGAAGTGTGGCCTTTTGGGGGGTGGGGTGGGGGCTTAGACCTGTCTCTTGCCATGCTGGGTGGCCTTTTTGCCTTATTTTCATAAGGTCTTTCCTCTGTGTTCAGATACTTGATGTTTTTCTACATATCCAAATCTCCACTCTTTATAGGGATATGAGCCATATGGAATTAGATCTGCCTCAACTATCTCATTTAAGCTCAATGACACATGTAAATGTCTTGCATCCAAACACAGTTAACATTCTAAGGTTCCAGGGATTAGCACTTCAGTATACAAATTTGGGGAGAAATATAATTCAGCCAGTAAGAGTTCTCTGTCTTGCCATTCTATGCCTGAATTTTTGATTCCTATCTATCTATGACATGGTATGGCCACTCACATACTACAAAGATCATGTGTAGACACATATGCACTATTAGGTTTTTTTTTCCTGAAATCTGTGACTGTGTCTGATGAGCCTCACAGAAAGTCCATAATAAAGAGAGCTACAGTTATGCATTATAGCCCATTTCTCCAGCAGTAGCTTCATTACACTGGACAGGGTCTGATTATTAAAATATCTAAGCTTAACTTTTCCTTGCACAAGTTGATTGACAGAGAGAAACCAAGTCCTATGGGAAACAAGCCATCAGCAATGAGCACTTATACCACCATATTTTACAGAATTCATTTTTAACTTTTAAAATTAAATGTCATAATCTATCATTGGTTTCACCTAATTGCATAAAGTAATGCTTTTCTAGTATAATTCTTAAAGTTTTTCATACAAGTTGATGTCATGCTCTAAAATACGTATTTGAAACTTTTCTCTAATCAATATATATTATTGTTATCGGGGTATTAATCTTTGAATCTCATGTAATGTCTGGATTTGTTCATATTTCAATTAAAAATATCTGAATGTATTTGAGTCTGACAGTGTAAGTCTGCAATCCAGGTACCTAAGAGGTTGAGGTAGGAGGATCAGAAATCCAAAGTTGCAGCAAGTGAGTCAGATTGTATGTTAGAACAAAAATCTGGAAAAATAAATAAAAAATAATTTAAAGAAAACAATTAGAACTATTAACAGATTTCCAGTCCATGTACTGAATACCAAGACAGTAATCCTAATATTTGGGGAGAATGAAGTAAACGGATTAAGAGTTCAAGGTCAGCCTATGTATACCAGAAGTTTCTGACAAGAGTTTCACAACATCACCATAGTCTTGTAAAATCCCCTCTTCTAGTATTGTGAAAAACTTAACCAGAGCAGAGTGAGTCTAAACACACTGAAGTAAGTTAGTAGGTCCATGCAGTCATCCACAGGACATAAGTAAACAGGGATTTCATGTACATTTTTCATTAGCTGATCTATATAACTCAGAGTCATCATAGTTTAAAGTGTCAACATTTTAACTATCATGCTGACCAGAAAATAAAATGGATTTCTTATTAAACTTGCATTAAAATGGAAATCTTTATGTCAGCATTCATTAAAAAGGCAAAGGAAAAAAAACAATTTGCAAGATTACAATGATGGAAATAGAAACAGAGGCTGAAAGAACAGAGGTTGATTGACTACAGTATTACCAAGCATGACATGCATTTTACTTAAATTATTCATTCCATTTCCTAGCCAAGAACTGACATCTCCAGGAGCCGATGTAATCATCATTCTAAAACTGGTGCTTTAATAAAGCCCTAATCAATCTTGAATTTCTCTTATATAATAAACTTTCATCTGAGAATTGAATATCCCAGGGATAGCCTAACACACTTAACTTGGAAATGTAGGAACTACAGTCTTTAAGAAAAAGAGAAGGGCCAAGGAAATGGTGCATCACTGTCATTTTTGAAAGAAAGAGAATTGTGTGTGTGTGTGTGTGTGTGTGTGTGTGTGTGTGTGTGTGTCTTTTATCTATCTATCTATCTATCTATCTATCTATCTATCTATCTATCTACCTACCTACCTACCTACCTACCTACCTACCTACCTATCCATCTATCCATCTATCTGTCTAGTGTCTGTGTCTCCTCACATGCTAGAATGCCACAATGTATGTGTGGTGGTTAAAGAACATCTTGTGGGAGTTGACTTTCCTTCTATGTCTTGTGTTTTGGATTGGAAACCAGGCTATTTGCATTGGGGATATGCATCCTTTCCCACTGACCCTTATGCCAAGAACTCATACTCAGAATTTTACTGAAGACACTGAATCTTTACAGCAGTTAGGGAGAATGGGTGTCTTTATAATATTGGCTCTTCTAATCCATGAGCACAAAATAGGTTTTATTTAGTTTCATTTACTTCATCACTGTTTTATAATTCCCTAGCCCATAGAACTTATTTTGTTAAATATTAATGTACATATCATTTTGTAGATTTTGGTGTTATTTTAAGTACCCATTCATCTTATATGGTAAACTCTCAGGTGGCATAATAGTACATTGTAACTATTTTGAGTAAACATTTAGTGTTTCATCTGAGCATGCACAGAATTTCTTTATTTTTATCAATGTCTCATCAACTTTCATAATGTCAAGCATTTGAAATTCACTATGTTTTATAGCAAATCTTGTCTTTTTTTAAATGTAGGAACAAAGTGACCATTTTATAACAGCATGTGATAAATAATGTATTTATCTTTAATTTTTGTGAAAGTCTGCTTTAGGTTGATTTTTTTTCTTATTTTTTCTATTGTTAGTTTGTTGTAAGTATCCCCATGCAAGCATATTGTGTTGGTCTTTTTGAAAATGACTCCCACAAGATCAAATATGTGAATCAATGGTTCCCAGTTAGTGGAACTATTTGAGAAGGGTTAGTAGGTGTGGCCTTATTGAAGGAGTTATATCACTGGAAACTGACTTTAAGGTTTCAGAAACCCATGAAAACCCAAGTTGGCACAGTGCCTCTTAATTGTATTTCAAGATGTGAGCGCTAAACTACT